TTACAGATCCTTTTCCAGTTGATGTGATACAAGAAAATTATGTCCGTAATGTGAGAAACTGCATTTTTTCAGTTGTCTATCCTACACCTTTTAAATCTAGAGTTCATCTTGTAGCTGTTTCAAAGGTTGGCTATTATTTTTTATTACTCTCTAGTTCGTAGAAATTACTAACACATTTACTAAAGTATACTTTAATATTCATGCTCTATATATTGTAAAACATCTCAATATATACTTTAAACAAAAAGAGCATTTAAAACATATTGTGAGATGTCTTTTAATGATGAAATATATAGAGAAAACATGTTCATTACCACTGAAAATTTGATCATGTTCAAGTATTATTTTTTTCTCCAGGAAGTTCTTGAAAATATTTTGGATCTTGATATATCTGTCAAAGGATCATCTGATTTTCTGGAGTTTGTCAGTGGTGGGAAAGTGATATTTGGGTCTGTTCCACTGGCCCATAGGTATGGGGGTCACCAGGTAAGTATGGCACTTGTTCTTCCAGGTGGAATTGTGTAGGTCTTTTCTTGTGAATTACACCTTGATGATACCTGTAAGTATTGATAATACCTGAGTATATGCCTGTGAGTGCATGAACGCTTACTAACATTTTGATTCCAGACTTGTTCTTCATAACAGGCTGCAGGTGAAAGAGAACTATAATATCCTTTCACAATACCTGTTTACTTGCTCTGCTTTTGTTTATGCCTGGAGAAAATTATTGTTTTAACTTTCATTAGCTGCCGAGCCTGCTTAGCACCCCACAGCCTGGCCAGCTCTGCTTTGTGATAGACACTAAGAGCTCAGAGGAGTGGAGAAGGACAGAGCCTCACTGCAACACCATGATTGCTAAGATTCACATTTCATTGGAATGGCTATGATTATTCATGGAGAAGAATTTGATTTGTAATTTCCAATTAAAAAAAAAACAAACCAAAACAAGCCGTGTGGGTTTAAAGGCTCATTATACAAAAAAGACAGGTCTGTAGCTGTACGTCATAGCTGGAAGGTAAAAAAACCAGAGGATTACTGCTGTTTCTCTTTTCCTGCGGTTTTCTGATTCATTTCTGGAGTGAGTGTGGAAATACAGCTTTAGGGATCAACATTTTAATGTAAGCAAATGTATCTTTTGTGAGGACCTCGATTTAATCTGTATTGTTTCAAGTATAACTTCTACAAATGATGGAGGACAATAACTTGATTTAAATTTTTGCCAGTTTGGTAGCTGGGCAGGTCAGCTGGGGGATGGAAGAGCCCACTTGATCGGAGTATATACAAACAGGTGTGACTTTTTTAAAATGTCTGATTGAACTCTGTGATTCATTGGTCTATTGCTGGAAATGCCAATGGTATTTTTGCAGGCGTGGTGAGAGGTGGGAACTGCAGTTAAAAGGGTCAGGAAAGACCCCATACTCCAGGTAAGTTGCAGTTATTCTGTGTACTCTAAAACAGAATGTTTTCTGTTTGAAATTTTCCTTGATTTTATGACCTGTTCCTTATTTCTCTGTTCTCTATAGGAATGGTGATGGAAGAGCTGTGCTTCGCTCTTCTGTTCGAGAGTTTTTATGTAGTGAGGCCATGCACTATCTTGGAATTCCTACAAGCAGAGCTGCTAGGTATTTTTCTTTCCTTTGTTCACAGTATACTAATTTACAGGTAATTTTGTGACTGAGTTTCACTGAACATCAATAAAACAGGACAGTTAGTTTCCAGGATGAAAGATCTCTTCATATGTATGCAATCAGAACAAAATACGTTCTCCACAGATTTGTGGATAAAACTTTCCAATAATACAGCAATTAATTGCATCACATAGTTTGCTGCATTCAAGAAATATTACTTAACTACTTTAGTGTAGTAAAGACTCATTTCTGTAAAGTTACTCCAAATTCTAGAATCTAGCCAACTAGGAAAATGTTGAAAGTGGATATTTTTGTACTGTAATTTTTAAGATTGCTGGGAAAAATTGTCAGTCATTAATAATAATAATATGTTATATTTATATATTATATATAAAATACATTAATATTGGAGGTAGAACTGAATGAAGGCAGTTAGGAGACAAACATATTTATTCATTTGGATGATTTTCTCAGAATCAAGTAACTGAATGTTTTCAGATGATCGTGTTTAAAATGCCAAGTTCACTTTGTGTTCCAAGTAGTCTCAAGTCTGTACTGCAGTGTTTAAGGCTTCAAATAAAGCAAATGTTCTGCAGAAAAGGCCTCTACTCAGCTGCCACATGGCTAGGTGTCTGTATTTGCAAAGTGTCTGCAAATCTCTTTAGCATTAGTTCTAACTCATTTGCTCTGTTAAAGTGCAGTGTTTGTAAATGACATTTTTGATGGTTTATTCATTGACTTCAACTTGAGACTCTTTGCTGTTGGCTGTTAATGCAGAACTTTAAATCTGTCTGAATATCAGTAGGAAATCATTTGGCAGGTTAGAGCCTCTCTTTGCTGTCATCTCAACAAATTGTTCAGTGCAAAACCAGTATGAAATTACCCCTTTACTGTGCACAAATTCTACTGAGCACACAGTGTGCTTTAGTTCTCTGCTGGCAGATTGGTTAAATGCCTGGCTCTCTTAACTGTTGTACAAGCTCTGCAGACTGTTTGCAAGACTTAATTTGGAAAAACCCCAGCTGACAGCCATATTCTTCCCGATG